GATTTGGAAAGAAATATTTTGTGAATTTTGCTTGCACTTTTTCAACAGAATCCTTATATTTTTATTTCTTCTTGAAATCAGAGAGTAGAAAAGAAATTTCAGCTATATGTACTAAAGCCATAGTAACAGTAGGGTAATAAGCTCTAGAAAGCTCAACAATAGTTGTATAAAAGTTATGTAAAAATTTAACAACATCATTAATGACCTCCCAAGTATTAGTTGTTAACATACAGTTTGGATCAGTACAATGCGCATTAGCAACTTCAGTTATTGGCAATCTATATTTGTAGCAACATCTTAAAAATAAGTATGTATAATTCCATCTAATAAGAATTTCATCTGGCATGAATCTGGGGTTAAAGTTATGTTCGGTACAATTAGCCTTAAATTCCCTAACTCTAGATTGTCTATTATTTTCTTGAATAACACCAATTGCGCTTCTAATATGAGTAATCTGAGTCAAAAATAAATCAAGGTCACTTTTAACAATTAAATTATAAACATGACATGCACACCTAACATGAAAACTTGTATCAAGTGGTGGTTACAAATGCAGTTTTAATATTGAAATAGTGGCATTATTGTTAGAAGAATTATCAAAAGACATACACTATATATTTTTATTAAGATTATAAAATGCAACAACTTCGCTAATAGTAGTACTTATAAAATAACAATATGACTCTGATCTTCATCATATTTAAAAGCGATAATACGTTTTTCCATACAATAATTATCATCTATCCAATGACATGTAATTGTCAAATAATCATTTTCATTAACAACATGGCCAATATCAGAAGTTAGAGAAACTCTACAAGGAAGGTAGTCAAACAAATAACGTATGTATGTCTGATATTGTCCATAAAGTCTAAAGATATCAGATATACAATTACTTCTAGGGATACCTTTAAATAAAGGATAATAAATCCTTTGAATATACATAATAAGATATGATGAAGAAGCAAAAGAAAAAGGTAGACAACCCAAAGCAATAATTTTTGTTAACTTCTCATGATCCTTTATTTTAGGGCAAAGGGCCAAATATACCCCTCTACTTTCGAAAATGGTCCAAGAATACCCCTCGTTATACTATTGGGTTATCTATACCCCTGCAGTCATACTTTGGGTTCAAATATACCCCTCATTTAAACGGAGGGACACGTGTCATCGTCTTGTTGGTTAATTCTAAATATCTCCTAATTAATTAAAAAGATCCATTATCCATACCCGATTTTTTTTTTTTTAGTAAAAACTAAAAAAAAACATTTTTACTAAAAACTGAAAAAATGAAAATATTTTTTTTTTCCAATTTTTACAAAAAACTGCTTTAAAAAAACTGAAAAATATTTTATAAAATAATATTTTTGTAAAAACTGGGGAAAAAAAACTGAAAAGCAATTTTCTAAAGCAATTAAAAACTAAAAAACTGAAATATTTTTAACTAAAAACTGGAAAAAAATAGAAAATATTTGTTTTTTCAGTTTTTACAAAAGCACTGCTTTAGAAATTTGCTTTTTAGTTTTTTTTGTTCTTTTTTTTTTAAGTTTTTACAAAAATATTATTTTAGAAAATATTTTTCAGTTTTTTTTTAAAAGTAATTTTTTTGTAAAAACTGGAAAAAAATATTTTTTCAGTTTTTAGTAAAAATAAATTCATTTTTTACAAAAATAATTGCTTTACAAAATTGATTTTCAGCTTTTTCAAAAATATTGTTTTAGAAAATATTTTTTCAGTTTTTACAAAAAGAAATTGCTTTAAAAAATTACTTTTCGGGTATGATTAATGGGTCTTTTTAATTAATTAGAAGATATTTAGAATTGACCAATATGACAATGACACGTGTCCCTCTATTTAAATGAGGGGTATATTTAAACCCAAAGTATGACTGCAGGGGTATAGATAACCCAATAGTATAACGAGGGGTATTCTTAGACCATTTTCGATAGTAGAGAGGTATATTTGGCCCTTTTCCGTTTATTTTATCATATTTTATAAGTCCTTCAGTACTAGGGTTTGGAGTTCCTTAATTTTCATCTAAATTAGAGCCCCATTCTATAGGATGAGTAATTCTCATATGTCTACTAAGTGTCCAGTCCCTCCCTAAACTTTCTCTAGTCTTATGTTTAAAATCATCTTTACAAATTTTGCATCTAACTCTATCAGAATTCTCTATTTCCTCAAAATATTTCTAAACTTTACCTCTCCTCTCCGATGACTAGTAGTCGGGGCCACATGTGGTCTACTACTAGTGTCACGACCACCACCCCTGCTACCAACTCCAACACTACTAGGTGTAGGTGGTGTCTCATCTTCAATTTCTAATTCATTATCTTCTATATCGTAATCTTCCTGTAATTGTTCATAATCTATAATATTATCAGGTGACGTTTCAGAAACATGTGTAAACTCATTTAAATACTGCCAGAAGTTGAAGTAGCACATCCTTTTCTATTTTCTCGATTACCCCGATTAGCAACCTTATTACAAACTCGTTTTGCAACATTAAACATATTGTGAAAATTTAACTATTAATAAAAATTAAATATATAAATAAAATATTAAATAAGAGAAAAAGTTAGAACGAGTGCACCGAATTTCGTAATAAATTAAATACTTGATAATTTTTGAAATCTTGTAATTGAATTTCGCAAGTCCGACGTTATCACGAATAAACTTCAATTGTTCAAAGTTCTTTTATTTTTGTTTTTGTAAAAGAACAAAACACGGGCAGTCAAAATAAGAAGGATATAGAAATTCATTTTGAAACTGTCTCAATCAGACCACAGTTTGGAGCTGTTATCTTCCCTTCCCTATGCTGACGCGGCTAAGATTCATTCATTCTCATCTTCATTTCTTTATTTCTTTGTTTTTCCCTGCTCTTCTATTTATAGTCAACTTACTTAAATATGATCCTTTTTTTTACTCCAATAATTCACGTTCAATATTAACAAAATCTAATTCTATATATCTCAGCCCATAAAATAAAATTAAAAAATAGGTAAGTTATTCAATCATTTTCTGTGTCTGGCCTGTACTCTAATTTACACCATAAAAATTTAGGAGTAATTAAATTAATATATTTCAAATGCAGATAATCTCAAAAAATCTCCTTCAAATACCAATTTCTCTCCCTCTTCTTCACGTCTCTTCTCAGCATTCTGATTTATATTAGTGATTTTCTCAGTTAATTTGATCACAAAAAGCTGCGATTTTCAAGTTAAATCAAACTTTTCGTGAAATTTTTTGCTTCAAAGTTCTAGAACATAGCATTTTAAGTGTGAACACGGCACTTCTCGTGATGTTCGTCGGTTGACGGTGACTGGCGAGAGCTGTTTTTCGTGATTCGTCGGAGTTAACGCCGATGACTGGGAAAATCGTGATAGAGTCATCGGCGGCGAGTGGGAGACAACTATTGAGAACGGCAACGGCGATGGCTAAGGAAGAGGAAAAGCGAATAAGCGGAAGACAGCAGAAAAGGATAGGAGAAGTGGCGGGAGGGACGGCGGCGGAGTGTGCGATGGTATGTTGCTGTTGCCCATGCGCGGTGCTGCACATCCTCCTCCTGGCCTTATACAAAATTCCGGCGGGACTTTGCCGGAGAGCGTGGAGGAATAAGAAGCAGAAGAAGCTTTTGAAAAAGAGGAAAAAAATGATGACGAATGATTCTCTCGGCGTTTACTACACTGACGATGAGAAGGATTCCGATGGCGGCAGAGATAACGTCGGCGATGATCATGACGGAGGATCATCGGAAGCGGCGGATTTTGAAACGGAGATGTGGGACCGGTTTTGTTATGGTGCTGGATTTGGGAGGAGCTCATCTCAAAGGGAAGAAGATTAAAAGGGTGAGAAATGGAAATAGCAATGAATTCGAGGACTGAGGAGCAAAAGAAAAAAAAGTTGTCACAAATCAAATACTACGATATCTACACTTGAATTCTCTGTAGTTCAGATCCAGGGTACAGAAGTACAGTCCTTATTCATTCTTCAGTAAAGTAGAAAAAAAGTTAGAGCTGAGTGTTTTTATGGCATAGCATTGATGATGCATCTATTAATTGTAATGCATTTTTGCCCAAAAAGGGGAACTTGACGTCATTGATCATTCCCACCCTTTTTTCTTTTTGGTGAAAATTATTTTCAATGATGTATGTATTTTTTTTGTTTCGTGGTTCAATTAATTTAAATTCGTGGTGAGAAAATTTCATTTTGGAATATACAATGATATGTGTGAAGCAAGTGTTTAATTAGAAATTTTTTAGTTCAGAAAATGTGTAAGACTGGCCTTTTAATTAGTGAATGCATTTTAATTTTAATTAATCAGCAAATGTTTAAGACTAGCATTGCAGATGGAGTGTGTTTGTACTAGTTTCCCAAAAAATCGATTGTTTTCTTTTGTTTTAAGTTTTAAAGTGATGTTACTACTGAGAAAGTGTATTTTTATAGTTGACACTTGGATCTTCCTTCACTTGATTACTTCATTTGTCTCAATTCTATATGCGACTCTTCTCATTTTGAGATGTTTTAAACTATTTGACAACATCTTTTTTTTTTTTAATAGAACTTTCACAGTTTTTAATAATTTAAGGGAAAAGGTCCGGATTTGCCTCTCTATTATAGTATATTGTTTACTTTTGTCATCCGTTATACTTTTCGTTCATTTCAGCCCCTATCGTTAATGAACATTTCAGATTTGCCCCTAACCCTACCGTGGCAGCCAACCCTTTCAATTTTTGTCTATATCAGCTGCCAAGTCACATGGTCCCACCAAATTAAAATTAAAATCAACTAGACTCATAAACTTGACGTTAATACCGTTCTCAAGCAACAAGGAAAAAGGTGCTAATATATCCCTCTACTTTAGTTAATAGTTTAAAACTGTCCCCCGTTATACTCTCAGCCCAATTAAAGGCCTAGCGTTACCAAACCTGTTTAAATTACCCATTTTTTGGACGGCTGTCCATCGTGTCAATTAAAAAGCCAGCTGGAAAGCCACGTTGGAAAGCCACCTCCATGTTAATGTCTTCTTCCTCCTAAAACCTCCATATCTGTAACATCTAGGGTTTAGTTAAAAAATTAAAAATTTCTGCTCTCTTCTCTCCTCATCTGCCTTACTTTTGGTTCCTGTAAAATATCGCAAGGATGTTCTTTGTCTCAGATTAGATGTCACTGTGGTATGATAGCCAGCCGGATAACTTCCACAATTATTTCTAATCCTAGAAGGAAGTTCTATAAATGCCCTAAGCCTAAGGTTTGTTCTTGATGTTGGTGCCCCAACTTGCTCCCTCATTTGAAGTCTAGTTGTCGCCTCTGACACACTCCTTGGAATTAGAAGGGGTCTGGATTGTCAAATTCTGGATAATCAAAATCTGGAAATATGGATGCACTGTTGATGGATTGCTTCCTTGGCACAGAAGGTGTTGGCATAAACCTATATTGGGGTCCTACATTGCTACTGGATTGACTTGCTTGACTCAATTGACTGGGCTGGGGTGATGTTAAGTGCAACTCTTCTTCAATAGTTAGCCTTGCAGAAGGTATAGATCTGGCCATGCTTTCATCACTGTCTTCATCAATCAATGATCTTGGCCTCTTCTTTGTCTTACCACCACCCTTTGGTTGTTTTCCTTTATCAGACTATCAAAGTAAAAAATAATAATAAAGTAAAAACAAGGGATGCAATAAAAAAATAATTAGGTTAAAGTACTATTGTAGTAGAATTAGATTACCTTTTGATATCCCCTTGAATTGTGCCCAGGCTGTCCACATGTAGAACAAGTCATCACCCTTCCTTTTCTAGATTGAGACCACTCCCCTTACCTATTGGTTGCCTCATTCTTTTCTCTAGTTCTCTTTACTTTAGGTCTACCAGCCATATTCACCATCACTGGTGGATCCATTGCATGAGCTGGATCTATATTCCAAAACTTCTCTCCTCTAATTGGTTGTAACATATGTGAATAAGTAAAGAGAAAAGCCTCCTTAGTGTACCACCAATGAATCCCACTCAAAGGATCTAACTTTTTATATAGCAGTGCCCTAAGAGCATGAGGACATGGGATTCCAGTGAGGTCACATGTCCTGCAAGTATATTTTTTCAACTCCAGGATCACTTTGTGCTTTTCAGGTCCTTCATCCACCTCATAACCAAATTCTCCATTGAAGTTAACACTACATTTTTTGTGCAATCTTCAAGAACTGGTTATACAACTTCATAGTTTGAGGACTAAAGTCTCCTGCCCAAGTCATCACATCACTTCCATGTTCTTTCAACATATTCATCACATTAACCCTTATGCCTTCAAGCATCTTTATAATAGGTTTGTGCCTAACATCCAATATCCAAGAATTAAAGGACTCTGTTAAGTTATTGTCAACTTGTTAATTCTTGCATACTGTGTCAAAGTATGCTCTACACCATGACTTGGGAGGATACCTCAACAAGTCTTCAGCAGCTTCTTTATTCAACTCCCCCAAGTTCTTCAATTGATCTTTAAAATCTTCATTATAACTGCTCCATGAACACCACCAAAGGTACTTCTTCAACTCCCCAGCACCCCATCTTTTTCACCAGTTAGCCTCTATGTGCCTCGCACAGTATCTGTGGTGTGCATCTGAAAGGATATCTTGCATTGCCTCAACCAAGCCCTACATATTAGTTGATAAAAAATAACATTTAAGATAGATTTAAAACTGAAAGTAATAATTAACAACAAAATTTAATATTCTAAAAAAAAAAAAAATGTAGTACCTTCTGCATGTCTGACATAAATGTGAATCCATCTCCCAACTTGAGGTCTAATGAATGCTTCAGCAAGGTCAAGAACCAGTTTCAGGTAACTTTTGTTTCTTTTTCCACAATAGCCCAAGCTATAGGATAAAAGTGCTTCATTGAGTCAAGAGCAACAATAACTAAGAGTTGGCCTTTCACTTTTCCTTTCAAGAATGTTCCATCCAAGCCAATAAAGGGTCTTAGACCACTCTTAAGCCCCATCTTTAGAGCATGGAAACAGATATACATCCTAGAAAATCTCCCCTTACCTTCAGTAAGTGCATCCTTGGATATGTTAATTATGACGTCACTTACTAGATTACTTATCCTCAATTCATTAGCATATGCCTCTAGTTTATTATACTCATCAACAAAACTACCATCTAGACTTTTCAGGATCATTCTCTTGGCTCTCTTATATTTTGAATGACTAACATTGATGTTGAATGTAGTTTTCAGAGCAGCTTTCATCTCCTTAACCTTTATTTTGGGATTGTCATGTATTTTGGTCTTAAAATATTGTGCTATAGTATTATAATCAACCCTTGGGTTATTAAATGAAGGGTTACAGTTATGCTTTGCCTTTAATGTTCTAATACTAACTCCAGCACCATTTTTATCTTTAGAAATGTGACAAACAAAGGGGCAGTCTACCTCACACCTATACCTTAGCCTCTTAGTACAACTTTTAAGTTGTGTTAAACCATAGCAATTGGCTAAGTAATAAAGATTTATCACTTTTCTAGCCTCAGGTATATCCTCGAATGACATTCCCTTATACAATTCCTTGTAGTCAGTCAACCTATCACAATTTTGTTTTTGTAGTGCAAGTGTCTCTAAGTCTTCAGAATCATAATCTGACCGGCAACTATCATCTTCACTTTCATTTGAACTACAATAAGTGTCAGTCTGATTATCTACTGTGGATGATTCAGTGTAATTGACAATATTAGGAACATTAACACCCATTTCACTATCCTCAACAGCAAATAGATTAATGAGGTTGAATTGGTCAGAAATAAAAGACTGTAAAGTCCTAATACCCACATCCCCATCTACTTCATAATATTTACCATAAGAAAAACATACTAGTAGTTGTTGAATACCAACATATCCTAACTTGGAAGCATACTCATCTATTATGTCCATAAAAGACAGAAGGTTAGAATCATACTGTTTCCAGCTGTGTACCAATTTTTTTTAATATACCACTTGTGGCTCCCTAATCCAGTCACCTCCATATTGGAATAAAAGGTCCACATTAACCATCTATGTAATCTGCAAAACAAATAATACAAAAGGATACGAAACAAAAAAATAAATAAAGTACAGAAACATAACTAAATAGAATAATGGTTGACAATAAGGGGGACCATCTAGAAACCAGTAGAAAATGATAAAGGCAGGCACATGATTCAGATAAAATAGAATACTAATGCATAAAGATTTGTGAAGTCCCACACATTGAAGGAGATAGTTGTCTGATCCTTAATAAACAAAGTATATGGGGGACTACATTTTAAAATTAAGAAATCAATAATGTCGCACCTTCTAAAAGACACATGCATGCCAAATTGGGGGACCATATGCCCTCATTTCTGCTACAAACAACAATAATAACTACTGAAAATGCCTCTTTCCCCAAAATATATATAACAAACAACCACTGAAAATCATAAACTAAGGAAATTCAGCTTTAGAACTCGTGAAACCCTAACCCACAAACCAGAAACAACAATACCCTAAATAAACCCTAACCCACAAATCAGAAACAACAAAAACTCAAAAACAGATGAGAAGTGGAATAAAAATAAACATGCAAACAAAAAGAATAGCAACTACACTGACATAGCACCGGAATCAACACAAACATTTACATTCTAAAATCTACATGGAATCGATAATCGTCAAGGTACAAACAGAAACCCTAACAGTAGTAACACAAACACTAGAACATAAATCAAGATAAATACAAGAAATGAAGAAAAAATAGAAGAAGAAAACGAAATCAAAGTTTAATAGCAGTAGAAAAGTTGTACCTTTGAAGAATTTTACAGTCAAGTCGGTAGTAGAACTTCACGCCCAATATCGCCTATCCATTTAGCTCTCAGAACAATGAGAATTATGACACTCTTTCTATGATAACCGGTTTGAGGGTTTATATATTAATGAGGAAAATAGGTCTGGGTGACGGGTCGCGGGTTATTTAGTAATGGATTGGGCTAATAATTTTCACCGTGTCAATTTTAAATAAAGTCAAATTGACACGATGGACAGCCATCCAAAAAAGGGGTAATTTAAACAGGTTTGGTAACGTTAGGCCTTTAATTGGGCTGAGAGTATGATGGGGGACAGTTTTAAACTATTAACTAAAGTAGAGGGACATATTAGCACCTTTTCCCTGTTACAACAATCTGAAAATTGTTTCAAAACATATCGTACAAAGGAAATTAGAGAAGAAAATGAAAAGAGAAAAGGGAAAAGAAAATACGTCATTGTGGCCTTTGGCGGCAGCAAAATGAAGAGGGGAATTGAGGCCACCAAAAGTAGAGTATTTAGAGAGGCATAGATTGCAATCAAGCAACATCTTTGCTTCCACGTAATCACCGTCTCTCGCTGCCGATACTAGCCGTTCGCCGGACGCCCAGCACCCAATGAATTTCCTATTTCTCTGTTTTTTTCTATTTCTCTCTCTATATATAAATGTTTGTTATATATGGATGTGAAGTCAAGATTTGTAGAAATGGCAGTAAACTTTGACTGAGAGAGCAGATAACGAAAAAAAAAGAATTATTTTGACCTTTTTGAGTTTTCTTGCTAATTCTTGTTTAGTTTCATTCCCTGAGCTGATATAATTTAGATAAGGGATAGCTGATTACTGAAAGATCAGCTCCATGAGCCAAATTATTTCTTCAATTTTAGCGTTGGAACATTTTAGGGCACTTTAAGTTTTCTTGAATTATCGTCGGCTTTTCGCCTTAGATTTTTTTTACTTGTTAATTTGGTAGGGTCGCGTGACTTGGCCGCTGACATGGAGAAAAAATAGAGGGGTTGACTGCCACAATATAGGTCCATTAGGTTTAAGGGCAAATCTGAAAAGTTTGTCAACGGTAGGGGCTGAAATGAACGAAAAGTATAACAGTTGGCAAATATAAATAATATACTATGGTAGAGGGGCAAATTCGGACCTTATCCCTAAATTAAATTTATTAAGTTACTCTACCTTAACTTTGATATTATGTTTTTTCTCGTTGGATCTCCTTCCCATGCATATAAGAGAACGAAAATGGACTGCCGATGGCAGCCGTGGTTGATTTGGGAATCTTACACGGTGGATCGACTTTTTTATCGTGTTGCATTTTCTCCATCCCCAAATCATAATGGAGCGGTTCAAAAAGAATGATTATATTCTATCCTTTCTACCATGCCTTTTACAATCACTAAAATATCTTATGCAATCATCACTGATTATGTCAATTTTTCTGAACATCACGAGTAATTTCTTTTTTGGTGAAATATGTTTTTTTAATCTCCTTTGATAAACTATTTTTTCAACTAATTTATGCATAAAACAATATCTTTACCACTAAAAATTGTGATGAGATAGATAAGATCCCTTTATTTTTAATCAAAAGTTTTAGATTTGAACTTATAAAAGGAAAAACTATTCTAACAGGGAGAACTTTCCTTCAATAGACCTTAAGCAACAGGAATCCATATTAGTTGGGTCCAAAACGAGTACGGAATACGGGAAAAACACAAAAAGAAATGAAACATTATCTTCGTACAATTTGGTTGTCTCCTTAATAGGTAGAGCACGTGTACATTAATATATGTTAAATCAATTTCACTGCCAATCGGATTTCTACACAACATAGGAATCAGTTTGCCATTTTATATCAGCAAAACAAAACTTGTCCCTATCCTATATATCGCTCAATTTTCCTTTGTAATGCCTATAATATGCGCATATTAAACACTTGCATTGTATCCTGAACAATAAAGGTTCGGATTAAATTCCACGTTCCATATCCGCTTGAGTCTCATGTGTCAATGAATCACATCTTTGCCAATATTTGATGAGACAAAACTTATCAGAACAAAAGAGAAGTGATTCCATAACTAAAAGAATTACCATACAAAAAATCAGTTCAAAATTTACCTAGAATATCTGAACTAGCCTTCTTGGCATACTGTCAATAGTCCAATATTTGCAAGGAATGTTTTTAACTTTGTTCCAGATTTGTATGTTAGTGAAAATGTAAAAAACTTCTAAGATTCTTTAAGCTAATTTATTGAATATTGAAACGAGACGAATGGAAGCGAAATGGATAGTGAAGATTCCTATAGCCCAATCAAACTAGCTTGAGATTGAGACTTAGTTCTTGGTGGTTGTTTCAAGATTTTCCACGACAACAAGCACTACATAATTGATGTTGAAATATTGGTTCTATTTTCCCTTCTAACAATGAATGAATTAAACAATCTGACAAGTTGCGCGGTCAGCTACTCCCACCGACCAGAGTATGAAAAATTAAGAGCTTATATGACTGTTCAAACACCAAAATATGGCACATCCTCGAATATAGAAGTGAAGGTATATCTGTTCAAAGGTTTCTCATGGTTATACATTCTAATAGCAACCCAGTATAATCCCACTAGTGGGGTCTGGGGAAGATAGTGTGTACGCAAACCTATCCCTACCCCGGGGTAGAGAGGCTGTTTCCGATCTCGGCTCCCTCCCTCCAAGAACTCCCCACCTTTCTCTTGGGTGACTCGAACTTACAACCTCTTGGATGAAAGTGAAGTAACATTGTAATAAAAGTCCAGGATATGTATATCCACTTACAATCCCGTAACAGCTAAACGAAATTGATGAGTATCTCTGACCATAACATAAGAAAATACTGTGATGCAACTGATACAGAAAAGTTAATGATCCTAATTAAAATACTGTGATGCTTAGCATGTTTTCATCTAAAGCTCTAAAATTCACCACTACATTCTCATGTCTTCTACATATTTGTATGATCCTTCTTCCAAGACTTCAAAAATATACACTGACAATTTTTTATTTTTTATTTTTGACCAAGGCTGATTAACAATTTACTTCAATTTGCACATATTCTAGCAAAAAAATATGCTAAACGTACTTGTAAGGAAAAATGCATGCAAATGCCAAACTGAAGGAATCAGAAGGGTGTTTTAATCTAAAGGATAACATCAGAAGATTAAATACTCCCTCTAATTCAATTTTTATATATGTGGCGGTATTTGACTGGCATGGAGTTTAAGCAAGAAAGAAAAACTTTTAGAACGTAGGGTTTTAAACATGCCATGACATTTCTGTGGCTATAAAAGCATGTCATTAAGATAAAATGACAAGTTCAAAGTTAATCTGTTTTATAAATATAGAAAGCTCTCGTTCCAAATTCCAAATTTTTGGAATGAGACTAAATAGGAAATAATTCCACATAAAATGGAACAGAGGGAGTACTTCATTACAGTAAGGATGAACATGTGTGCTTAGGACATTGCTTTAGTTACTGCAAGGATAAGCACAGATATCTTCTACTATAAAAGAACCCCAAGAAAATGACTTAAATGCTTAGACAAATCACGAAAGGGTACACCACCAGAAAGGAAGGGTGAGAGCCGCAGCATCATACTTTAAACAATTACCATTCTTCCTTATTAAAGAAAAACAATTACCATTCTTCCTTATTAAAGAAAAACAATTACCATTCTTTCCAAGTCATCAGGCGACAAAGATGACATGGCCTGTCGAGCTTTCTCTGCATCCTCCCGACTGAGCTTCATTCCAAATTGTTCACTCATGTTGGCCATCATTTCTGGACTCATGTTTTTTATCATCGATGAGAACATCTGCCAATATCCAGGAATCACCGAGATTTTAATATCAATGACCCTATGTAATTCCAGCATAAGAAACAAATATGGATTATAGGCATGTATGATGCACAAAAGGAAATCAAAAGGGATGGTGATGCTAAAGCACCAAATGACTAGGAATGAATGATGATGGAGAAGGACTAGAACGCCAATCCCCATAGTTGGGTATCTGCTACCAAAGAAAGCGATTTACAACAGGTGAAAAGAGTAAGCTTACATCATTTAATCATGTAAGAAAGCATTTTTAAAAAAAAGAATGAGCAAGATTGACTAACTTAACCCAGATCCAGGTGCTAGAAACTAAACTGACATGATAATGTTATAGATCAAGAAAAATATCAACACTTTTGAAAGAGCTTATAGTACCTTCAAGAAAATGAGCTATAAATGCATCAAGAAAAATTTATGGGAATAAAGAAGATAATAAGTTGTTAGTTTATAGATATGTATAGTGTAGTCTTGTCCCACATTGGAAGAGGAGTAATATCTCCTTGTAGTGTATAGCTATAAATAGGGACCTCTTGTATTGTATTTATCATCCAATATCAATAACATATTTTCTCCCGTGCCTTCTCACATGGTATCAGAGCATTAGTGAGAAAAGATCGTTGTGCGTCATTCCAGCGTTAACCGGGAAGAAAGAACTTAGTCATCGTGTAAATTTTCCGGTGACCTAAGGCTTGTCTAAGTGAAAGTCACTTTCTGTCGATGTTGTGCTAAAACCAACACCATCACGAGGTAGATCACTCTCCGACTACCAACCCCTGAAATTTTATCCGGCAGAAAAGTCGCCACGCTCCTCCACGCGCTGGCAACAACTTTTCCGGCGAGGGTTTTTTCGTGAAACTTCTTCAGGACAGTGTGCTCTCCTCAAAATTCCGAGCCTCATCTAATTCAAATCAAATTCCGGCCACTTTTATATTTTTTCCGGCGTGAACAGTGACCTTTCTGGCCATTTTTTGAAAATATTTCTTCAGGACAGCTTGCTCGCAAAGGAATTCCGAGTCTATCCATCCTGGTTACAACAAATTCCGATAATTTTGGAATTTTCCGGCGAGCTACAGTGTTTCCGGCGTGAACAGTGTTTCCGGCACAGAACAGTGTTCTGTTTTCCTGCTGTAAACAGTGTTTTTCAAGCTATTTCTTCAATTTTCTCACAGGAGTTACTTATTTCCACTATTTCAAGTTAACCATACTACTACAAATTGTAGCGACATGGGAACCGATGCTTTGAATAGTCGGATGGTTTCTTTAGCAGAGTATATTGAGTTCCTTCAGTATAAAGCATGTAAGCAGACATCTTCTGAGATAGCTTCTGTTGTTCAAACAGGTAATAGCGTGACTTGTTTCTCCCAATCTTCATCCTCTGAGTCTTGGGTCATTGATTCAGGTGCATCAGATCATATTTCTGGTAACAAATCTCTTTTCACTACTATTTCGTATTCTCAATCTCTTCCAAAAGTCACAATGGCCAATGGGTCTCAAACCATGGCAACTGCAATAGGTCAAGCAAGCCCACTTCCTTCCTTACCTTTAGATTCAGTCCTTTATGTTCCCAATAGTCCTTTTAATCTCATAGCTGTTAGTCGCTTAGCCAAATCACTTAAATGCGCTGTTTTATTTCTTGATGACCATGTTTTTATACAGGAACGCAGTACGGGGCGGATCATTGGTACCGGGCGTGAATCAAACGGACTTTATTACCTTATCCTTGCTAAATCACATGGACTCACATCTTGTCTTCCTTCTACAACTTGTCCTGTTACTGATTCACCAGATTTATTACATAAACGGTTGGGACATCCCAGTTTGTCAAAACTTCAGAAAATGGTATCTGGTTTATCTCACTTGTCAGCTCTAGAGTGTGAGTCATGTCAGCTCGGTAAGCATACCCGCTCCCATTTCCCTCGGCGTCTTGATAATCGAGCAGAGTCACCTTTTACTTTAGTCCATTCAGATGTTTGGGGTCCTAGTCGGGTCAGTTCCACCTTAGGATTCCGCTACTTTGTCAGTTTCATTTGATGATTATTCTAGGTGCACTTGGATATTTTTGATAAAAAATCGATCTGAGCTGTTTTCTATTTTCCAGACCTTCCACGCTGAAATTCAAAATCAATTTGGGGTTTCTATTCGCACATTTCGTAGTGATAATGCCCGAGAGTATTTGTCTTCCCCATTTCAGCAGTTTATGAAATCTCATGGGATTATTCATCAAACATCTTGTCCGTACACATCTCAACAAAATGGGGTAGCTGAAAGAAAGAATAGACATCTTATTGAAACTGCTCGTACCCTACTCATACAATCTCATGCTCCGTTGCGTTTTTTGGGGGATGCCGTTCTTACATCTTGCTATCTTATTAATCGTATGCCATCTTCAGCTATCCAGAACCAAGTTCCATTCTCTGTCATGTTTCCCCACTTACCTTTGTTCTCTCTTCCACCCCGTATCTTTGGAAGCACTTGTTTTGTCCATAACCTTACTCCAGGAACAGATAAGTTAGCTCCTCGTGCTCTTAAGTGCGTATTTCTGGGTTTCTCGAGAACACAAAAGGGGTATCGATGCTACTCTCCTGACCTCCAGCGGTACCTTATGTCCGCTGATGTTACCTTCTTTGAAACCCAATCATACTTCACAGGTTCAGGTCATCACTTAGATATTTCTGAGGTACTACCAGTTTCATCTTTTGGAGATTCAGTCACTCCAGCTCCACCACCTACAACTCCAGTTGTAGCTCCACCACCTATAGCTCCAGTTGTAGCTCTACCACCTATAGCTCCAGTTCCACCACCTACAGCTCCGGTTGTAGCTCCACCACCTATAGCTCCAGTTCCTCCACATAATCCAGTTCAACCTTCTGCAGCTCCACCACTCTTGACTTATCATCGTCGTCCACATCCAGCATCAGGCCCAGGTGATTCACGCCCCGCATCAGATTCTGCACCTACTGCGGACTTGTCTCCTCTTAGTCAACCAATTGCACTCCGCAAAGGTGTACGATCCACACTTAATCCTAATCCCCACTATGTCGGTTTAAGTTATCATCGTCTGTCGTCACCACATTATGCTTTTATATCTTCTTTGTCCACTGTTTCTATCCCTAAGTCTACAGGTGAGGCACTATCTCATCCAGGATGGCGACATGCTATGATTGACGAGATGTCTGCTTTACATGCGAGTGACACTTGGGAGCTTGTTCCTCTTCCTGCAGGTAAGTCTACTGTTGGTTGTCGTTGGGTTTATGCAGTCAAAGTCGGCCCGGATGGCCAGGTTGATCGGCTTAAGGCTCGTCTTGTTGCAAAAGGATATACTCAGATTTTTGGGCTTGATTATAGTGATACTTTCTCTCCCGTGGCTAAAGTAGCATCTGTTCGTCTCTTTTTGTCCATGGCTGCTGTACGTCATTGGCCTCTTTATCAGTTAGACATTAAGAATGCTTTTCTCCACGGTGATCTTGAGGAAGAAGTTTATATGGAGCAACCACCTGGTTTTGTTGCTCAGGGGGAGTTTAATGGTTGTGTGTGTAGATTGCGCAAGTCACTATATGGTTTGAAACAGTCCCCTCGAGCTTGGTTTGGTAAGTTCAGCACAATTATTCAGGAGTTCGGCATGACTCGTAGTGAGGCTGATCACTCTGTGTTTTATCGGCATTCTGCTCCTAATCTGTGTATTTATCTAGTGGTTTATGTTGATGATATTGTTATTACTGGTAATGATCAGGATGGTATTACTAATCTGAAGCAACATCTCTTTCAGCACTTCCAGACTAAGGATCTGGGCAGATTGAAGTATTTTCTAGGTATTGAGGTCGCTCAGTCTAGCTCAGGTATTGTTATTTCACAGCGGAAGTATGCCTTAGACATTCTTGAGGAGACTGGAATGATGGGTTGCAGACCTATTGACTCTCCTATGGATCCGAATGCTAAGCTTCTGCCTGGACAGGGGGAGCCTCTTAGAGACCCTACGAGATATAGGAGGTTGGTTGGCAAATTGAATTACCTCACAGTGACTAGACCTGACATTTCTTTTCCGGTGAGTGTTGTAAGTCAGTTTATGGATTCTCCCTGTGATAGTCACTGGGATGCAGTTGTTCGCATTCTTCGGTATATAAAGTCAGCTCCAGGCAAAGGATTACTATTCGAGGATCGAGGCCACGAGCAGATTGTTGGGTACACAGATGCTGATTGGGCAGGATCACCTTTTGATAGACGTTCTACGTCTGGATATTGTGTTCTAGTAGGAGGTAATTTGGTCTCGTGGAAGAGCAAGAAACAGAATGTAGTTGCTCGATCTAGCGCCGAAGCCGAATATCGGGCCATGGCTATGGCGACGTGTGAGTTAGTTTGGGTCAAGCAGTTGCTCAAGGAGTTAAAGTTCGGAGAAATCAGCAAGATGGAACTAGTGTGTGATAACCAAGCTGCTCTTCATATTGCGTCAAATCCGGTGTTCCATGAGAGGACTAAACACATTGAGATCGACTGTCACTTTGTCAGAGAAAAAATACTTTCAGGAGATATTGTTACAAAGTTTGTAAAGTCGAATAATCAACTAGCAGATATTTTCACTAAGTCTCTTACTGGTTCTCGTATTAGTTACATGTGTAACAAGCTCGGTACATATGATGTGTATGCACCGGCTTGAGGGGGAGTGTTAGTTTATAGATATGTATAGTGTAGTCTTGTCCCACATTGGAAGAGGAGTAATATCTCCTTGTAGTGTATAGCTATAAATAGGGACCTCTTGTATTGTATTTATCATCCAATATCAATAACATATTTTCTCCCGTGCCTTCTCACATAAGTATTGCACATGAAAGGATCAGAGCTAATATATACCTGTCTCATGGCTGGATCATTCATTTGCCTTCTCATCTCTTCTTGCAAATCGGTATTTGAGTTGGGAAAACTTGATTGAGGACCATTTGTTGAACTCAAAGAGGCTTGTGAGGAAATACTGGCCCTAATACTATCATCAACTTGGAAATTCTCTATAGTGTCACTAGGTTTCGACTGCTTATTTGGCCTTGATCCATTAGAACCTACAGCTGCCGCAGCTGATACTGAAGCTTTTTCTTTCAAAGAAGATGCCATTTCAAAGCATTTCTTCAGGAGACATCTTACCCATAATATCTGTTGCCATTTTCAGCATGTCAGGTGTTACATTCGGAGGAACTGACCCAGGGCCAAAGTTATCCGAGGAGCCTTTGTTTAGAAAGGGATTTTCCCCTTGAAAGGAAGAAGCCATTTGGATCAATTTTTGTAGTTCTTCAGGTGACATCTTGCCTATAACATTGGATGCAGTCTTTACCATTTCAGTACGTAAGACATCAGCTTTTCCACCACTGAATGCAGCTAGGGTGTCTGGATCAGTGTGAGAGATAAAAGTTTGGAAGGACCTACATCCATGCAACAGAAGGAAAAGTTCGTCGTGATTGTTGGAGTTAGGTTTAAAATTCTGACTGCTAATAGGATAAACACAATTAGAATCATGGCGACGAGAAAGGGCACTAGTTATTACAGGACAGTGTTTCCATAAACATGGGAAATTTATCGTAAGAAAATGATAAGCACTAAGAAAGAGAAGAAGTGATAATGTCAAGATTAGATAGTGGACAGGAGATTTAGCATAAATAAATTCTCTTTTGCAGTGCGAAAAAAGCAAGCAACATCTGGTATTAGACAACTACACTATTCTCTGGTCTTCATAGCAATGTCACCAGAATAAAACAAGCATGCAAATATGCGATCAAGAGTCTAGCCGCTTCAAGGTTTTGAAACTAAAAGCAGCTGTAAATCCACTTAAGCCTTAATTGAGCAGAGTTACCCCGTACCTATGCTGGCTATGCTGGTGGAAAGTAAAAAGTAGCAGGTGGGATAGTGGAATAGTGTCAAACTATCTTGGACACCACCGTTATTAAAAGTTTAAAAAGCAGCTGGATATCTGGCGTACCAAATAACATATGTGCTCCTAAGATGTGATTTTTGCTGCATCATGGTCATGACTCATTAACCACTCATTCTTCAACTAAATGACCAGGATCACTAGCAGATGATTTCAAACAAAGAAAATGTAGCAGCAGTGAAGGACTAACTTTAGGTGTCGGTACAAGTAAGAAAATGTGAAGAGAGAACACAGCAACTTCTCAGAATATTAAAAAAGAGGAATCACACTCCAACATTGAGACAAACCTAATGGATTTTGGATCATCTTTCAAAGCCTCCAAAGATTCTGAACAAGGCACACGAAGGATCTCAGATTGACTCTTGGGAGGGCTAACCACTTTTTGTCGTTGTGATACAGCATATTGTGCTTTTTTTGCTTCCCGATGACAACTCTGCTTCTTCCTCAGTTATTTCTTCAATAACCAATCCTGCTCAAAAAAGGAAATTCAAGTTCAATGAATATAATTTTTAGGAAAAGAAAAGGATGCACACACAGAATGAAAATACCTCCCGGCAGATAGGAATCGGATAAGATATTTTATCTAAAGCCCATCAACCATTATCGTTTTTGAGATCCGCTACTAAAAGGCCTTCTTCTCCCCATGTTCATGGGCCATTGCGCATGCTAGACCATGCATAGGATTTAGATTTCCTCTCCCTACTTCCATTCCTCTTTTTTACTGAAGCATTTTTGCAGATGGAATTCATCCCCTTTCCATAGTGAAGCTTTAGCTTGCTTCTTTTCTCGAAGGACAGAAAGACGGATAATTTGTTATGAACCTTGCTAGCATAAAGTCTTATTTCTATCTCAATCCAACAATCAGGATGGATAGAAAGACATACCATCTGTCCTTTGATTCTCTGGCAGAGTTGGAATTGCGGGAAGAACTATAGCTCCAGACGAAGATTAACGACTTGGCATTACCGGTTAAGGAGAAGGTCTTGAAGCTCGACTGATTAGAGAGTAGATCTTGGTAAGGACAGTAAGCATTACAGACCCTGGTACTGGGGAACAAGAGTCAGAGTTCAACCTACTTGAAAGCGTTCTTTAGCCAATGAAATCGGGACAAGCCTGCTGATATAATTTCTTTTAGTAAGGTAATAGGATGGTATGGTTTCTGCAGCAGTAAGAGTTGGGGTTAGCTCAATCCCGCGAGGGGATCCATCAACAATAAAGTCATGCAACTAGCTTGGACTAGGAAGAATGAATTGTCTCTAGAACCCTTGATTGGTCTAGGCAAAGCGATAAAAGAACAGGTCTCAGATAAGCTGTTGCCCCTCTTCTGTTATAGCTCTTTAGTCCCACCCCTACCAAAGAGGATCTCCCCATAAAAGATGCGTAGCGCTCTTTAGAGATGGGATTCATACCTGGAAGCGGGGAAGACAAAGTTTAGAATCTCGGTCTCAAGTGCAACCCAGAGGAAGCTGCTTGATAACCTAGCCAAGTAGGAAATAATTTGTTGGTTGAAGGTGCTCTCATGCAGCTTCTTTAATAGGAAGCCCTGAGCTACATCTCCCTCTTATCAGGAATATCACTAGTGAAGCCTTATCTTCAGTTATATTATAAAACCCTTAGCCCTATCTTGGATTCGTTGAACTTTCACCCGAGCTTGATCGGGATACTCGTCTATTGCGCTTAGAATAGAAGATAAGATACATCCGTTTGGCGTCTGGGTTTCGGTGGTAGGAGGAATCCCCATAACTAAAATACCCCTCTTTGTCCGGAAAATAGAGATAGCTTCTTTGCTTAGTTAGGTACGGCTCTTTCGAGCAATCAATCTGCTAAAAGTGGAGCTCCTTATGGGGGTAGACTACACGAGTCCTATGAAAAAGAGCGGATGACTATATAATGGCAAGGCTTTCTGGTCGATAAGTCAATAGATATTCTTCTATTAAAGAAGGGACTCATACAAGACTTTCTGTTTGTATCTGATCTAATGCCTGAAGCTTAAAGAGAAAGAAAGTCGTATGTATAAGGTGATCAACTCATCATACAAGAGTTAACTTCCCGACTCCCGTTTCCGACAGGTGGAAATATAGATACCAGAGGAGCTAACCGAGAAGGGAAGGAGGATTGGAAGTTTTGAAAGACAGAACGGTGTTCGTAGATGGATTGGACTTTTGGTAGGAGAGAATACTGATTGAGCACATGCTTTTGATTTCTATCTATATAGGATATGCTAAGCCTTTTCTTATTTATCTATCTAGGATGCAGAGAGACATCATTATCTTATTAATAGGTTCTTTCGTTTGAGGGAAAGAGACAAAAGAACATAACTTTCTACGAATGTGAATCTGCCAAGTAAGGGGGGTTAAGGGGGAGGTCTTTTTCTGTTTTAACAAGAACTTCTCATCTTGGGTTAAGGGCTTAGTTGATCCCAATTTCTTCACTGGTAGTATAGGGCTTTGTTTGGCATTGGGCTTCGATATAATTTGATTTCCTGGTCTTGAATTAAACCTATGCTCTCCTAATTCAGTCTACAGATTTAAGTTTAGGTTCAATCTTAGTTGTTTAGGTTAGGTCCGTGAATTAATGTCTGATAAACCCCTAAGCTGAATCTATATGGGGCCGGCCAAAAATTCCTTGTCACCCTCTAAGAGGGTAAGGATAGGGAGGCTTAGATTACATAGAGTTCAACCTGCTTTGGGCTTTAGTTAAGCCAATATCCATTTTAGTAGAAAAGGATCTTTTATGTAGCCCAACTCATAGAGAGTTTTGTTACTTAGCCTGAACCCATTTATTCTATTCCTATGATTGTTGAGTGGTGGATTTTCTCCTTTTAGGATTAGGTTTGTATCATGTGTTGCTAAGCTCATTTCTCCTTTTAGGTCTTACCTTTTGTACTTAAGATATTGCATACCATGCAAGTCATTCATTATCCACACATGTCATACATCTTTCATATAGGATGATCTTAGGAAGCACCTAAGTGTTGGACATTTGCATGATATAGGTAAACCAATCGCTCTAGGTTAAAAACCAAACAACTTTCTCAAACTAATACTGCAAATCGACATCGGGGTGGCTGTGACGCTTCTTGTTGAGTACAGTACACAATTCAAACTTGAAGTTCGTTTACACAGTATGAGAAAGACAATAACAACAACAACCCAGTAAAATCCCACTAATGGGGTCTGGGGAGGGTAGTGTGTACGCAGACCTTACCCTTACCCCGAAGGAGTAGAGAGTCTATTTTCGAAAGACCTACGGCTCAAGAAAACAAAAAGACAAAAGGACAAAAAGGAGACAATATTAGTATCACCACAGCAATCATAGGAAAAATAGGAACACCATGAAATCCAGAAGAAAGATGCAAAGCAAAAGGAGACAATATTAGTATCACCACAGCAATCATAAGAAAATAGGAACATCATGAAATATAGAAGAAAGATGCAAAGCAAAAGCGATAGCTAGTAAATAGGACCTGCATTGAAAAGCGAAATAGTGAGACACAACATTACCACTAGCTATCTTAGACAAAAACCCTACATGGCTAGTCCCACAATGGTACGAAGTAAGGCACGACTCAACTACCTCCTAACCTACAACCTTAATACTCGACCTCCACATCTTCCTATCAAGTGTCATGTCCTCGGAAATCTGGAGCATCGCCATATCCTGCCTGATCACCTCTCCCCAATACTTCTTAGGCCGTCCTCTACCTCTTCTTGTGCCCTCCACAACCAACCGCTCACACCTCCGTACCGGAGCATCTGGGCTTCTCCTCTGAACATGTCCGAACCATCTAAGTCTCGTTTCTCGCATCTTGTCATCAATGGAAGCCACGTGCACCTTCTCCCGAATATCATCATTCCTAATCTTATCTATCCTAGTGTGCCCGCACATCCACCGCAACATCCTCATTTCTGCTACTTTCATCTTCTGGATATGTAAGTTCTTAACGGGCCAACACTCAGCCACATACATCATGGCCGGTCTAACCACCGCTTTATAGAACTTACCTTAGAGTATCGGTGGCACTCTCTTGTCACACAGAACTCCAGATGCTAACCTCCACTTCATCCATCCTACCCCAATACGGTGATCATCGTCGATCTCCCCTCCCCCTGGATAACCGAACCAAGGTACTTGAAGCTGCCTCTACTCGGGATGACCTGCGAATCAAGCCTCACATCCACGCCCACTTCCCCCGGCTCAGCGCTGAACTTACACTCCAGGTATTCCGTCTTTGTCCTGCTCAGCTTGAAACCTTTAGATTCAAGAGCATGTCTTCAAACCTCCAGCCTCTCGTTAACACCGGCTCGCGACTCATCAATCAGAACTATGTCATCGGCGAATAGCATGCACCATGGCACATCCCCTTGAATATGGTGTGTTAACGCATCCATCACCAGGGAGTATGAGAAAGACAATTATAAATAATGGGACTAAGCAACTTTTTTAGATTTCATTCTTTAATATAACATCAACATAACAATAACATTATAAAGCAATATAGGCATTATCCTATCCATCCACCGAAAAGTTCACGCGCTTCTTTATTCAAAACAAAAAAACATTCTGAAATGAACCGACATATAAAAGTGGGCTCGTTTGCTCATTATTTGTGTTCGTATATTTTTTCATTATTGCAATACAAGTAAGACCTCCACTATATACTAGTTATGGAGAGGATTCGCGCCGGATAGAACACGACGCTTCGAACCACAGACTACTGTTTCTGGAATGAAACGAAGCTTTGGAAAAGAATTATACTTCATGCTAGGTCCTGATGGCGGAACTGGCATTTTGGGGGGGCGGGGGGGCTTTTGCGGCAGAGTAGAAAGTTGAGCTTTTCCTCGCGTAGCTCCATTCAAAAAGAATACAAAAAGGAGAAAGAATATTATTTCGCGGATTCTTACCATCACTGCTGGAAAACAAATTTTTCTGTAGGCATCCATGGGTTCGAGATTATATACTGCTGCAGAAACTGAATCGAAGGGGTTGGTTGAAAGGTAAGGATAGCGTGATTGGCCAATTGGTTAGAAAGTAAGGATAGCATGATTACCAAGTGTCTTGGATCATGGGCCAGAGCTACTTGGGTTTAGCCAGATGAACATCATTTGGATGGGCTCGAATCCTTTGCATGATTTCATATGCCTTAGATGGTTTTTGAATTTGGGCAAATTTGGAAGGCCTTCTTGCATGGACTTGCTTTGATGATGGGCAGGCCTTTTCTTCACATAGGCTTTCCCTATAGCACCGAGGCTAACGCGCTAGGTCGAGCGGTCACCGAAGCTTGCTTGTTAGTATAAAACTAATGAAACCTCAAACCAACAAATATCACGACTACTCGGGCATACTTAGTTTTTCCTCCTAAGATAAGAGCTTTCCACTAAGCTTGTCACTAACCTCTTCACTAATTACCTAGTAACTTTTAAAAATAAATTTTCACTAGGGTAAAATAAAATAAAGGGAAGATGAAAA